CCCATCTTTGTTTGATAATAAAAATTCTATTCCATTTGATTGTGAAATTTGTCAGCTTGCAAAACACACTCGCACTTCATTTCCTCCAAAAACATATTCACCAACCACACCATTTTCTTTAATCCATAGTGACATATGGGGACCATCAAAAATCACAACTTCTAATGGTAAAAAATGGTTTATCACATTCATTGATGATCACACATGCACTACAGGGGTTTATCTTCTTCATGAAAAATCTGAAGCATGTCAAATATTCCAAACTTTTCACAAAATGATTCAAACTCAATTCCAGACTCATATCCAAATTCTTAGAACAGACAATGGCAAAGAATATTTCAATTCTATCCTCGGTGACTATCTATTGAAAAATGGGATTATACATCAAAGTTTGTGCGTTAACACTCCATAACAAAATGGAGTTTCTGAAAGAAAAAATCGTCATTTATTGGTGGTAGCTTGAGCTCTCATGTTTACCATGAATGTCCCAAAATATTTATGGGGAGTTGCTGTTTTAACTGCCTCCTAACTCATAAATCACCTACCAAATCACACAATAAACTTCAAAACTCCTCTATTTGTTCTCACCTAAAACTACCAAAAACTTTCCAACTCAAATGCTCTTCCCTTAAGAACCTTTGATGTACGGCCTTTATCCATATCCATGCCCATGATAGAAGCAAACTTGATCCCCGTGCTCTTAAAACCATCTTCATTGGATAGTATCCAGCAAAAAGGGTTATCGATGCTACTGCCCAAAAAATTAGAAAACTTATATTTCTTGTGATGTTACTTTCTTTGAAAATACTTCTTATTTCTCTCCAACTTCGCTTCAGGGGGAGAATCAGGATAAAGAAGCTTGTTGTTCATGGGACACTCTTGACTTGCCATTGCTCGGAGTAGACACCACCATTTCCACATCAGAGTCAATCCCAATCAACATTTCAATAAATGAGCAAAGTATTCCAAAACAAGTTCAACCATCTAACAGTACACCAGAACTAGAAACAATGAGAGAAGCCATTGTGCCTAATCAGCAAGAGTTACATGTCTACTCTAGGAGGAAGGTCTCCCAAGGAAATAAAGACATCATGAATCCTACTCATAGTCAAGAAGTCGAACCGATGGTAGAACCTCACTTGCCAAATGTGTCGGGTAATTTGAGCCCTAATCTCGATCTAGATATTCCAATAGCAATGAGAAAGGGTGTAAGGTCTTGTACTCAACATCCTATTTCCAAGTTCATTTCCTATTCCAATCTAACATCTTCATTTCGTGCTTTTACTTCAAATCTGTCTAGTGTGATGATTCCCAGGTCTATTGAGGAGGCATTGACTATTCCTGAATGGAAATCTGCAATATTCGAAGAAATGCGTGCCCTTAAGCAAAATAATACCTAAAGTTCGGTGAAATTGCCACAAGGAAAAAGCATCGTAGGATGCAAATTAGTGTTCACAGTAAAATATAAGGCTAATGGTTCTATAGAAAGATATAAGGGTTGCCAAAGGTTTTATACATACCTATGGGATTGACTACACTGAAACCTTTGCTCCTGTCGCAAAACTCAATACCGTCAGAATCCTACTTTCACTGGCAGCAAATTCTATTTGGCCACTGCATCAACTTGATGTAAAGAATGCTTTCCTTAATGGTGAGCTAGAAGAGGAGGTTTATATGAGTCAACCATCAGGTTTTGAACAAAAATTGGGTAGTCAAATTGTTTGCAAGCACAACAAGTCGCTCTACTGTTTGAAACAATCCCCACGTGCTTGGTTTGACTGTTTTTCAAAAGTAATCAAGAAGTTTGGTTATATTCAAGGACAAGTTGATCATACATTGTTTGTCAAACACTCTGAAGGCAAGAAGATAACTATTCTGATTCTGTATGTTGATGATATTATTGTCATTGGAAATGATATTGAGGAGATAGAGAGAATTAAACAGAGTATGGCACGAGAATTCGAAGTTAAAGATCTTGGAGCTTTAAGGTATTTTTTGGGAATGGAATTTGCGGGTAAGAAAGGTATTTCCGTTTCACAAAGGAAATACATTCTTGATCTTTTAGAGGAAAAAAGCCATGATCGGTTGTAAACCAAGTAAAACTCCAATTGAACTTGGTAATAAAGCAAAAATATTCAAAGGAGATCCTGTTGACAAAGAAAGATATCAACGTCTTGTTGGAAAGCTCATTTATCTTTCACATACAAGACCTGACATAGCTTTTGCCGTGAGCTTAGTAAGTCAGCATATGCATGTACCATGTCAGGGAAATCTTAATGCAATATATAGAATATTGAGGTATTTGAAGCAAACACCTGGAAAGGGGTTATTTTTTTGCAAAAACTGATGACCGAAAAGTGAAAGCATTCACTGATCCAGATTGGACTGGTTCCATTGATGATAGGAAATCTACATCTGGGTATTTTACTCTTTTGTGGGGAAATTTGGTGACATGGAGTAGTAAAAAACAGTCCGTTGTGACAAGAAGCAGTGCAGAAGCTGAGTATAGAGCTTTGGCTCATGGAGTCTGTGAACTTATTTGGATAAAAAGAGTGATGGAAGAGTTGAAGATCAAATATGAAGAACCTATGCATCTCTATTGTGATAACAAGTCAACTATTAGTATAGCTCATAATCCTGTCCATCATGATAGGACTAAACATGTGGAAGTAGATCGACATTTTATCAAAGAAAAGCTTGATGGAGATATTATCAGCATTGAATATGTGCCTAGTTCTCAACAACTTGCTGATATACTCATGAAAGGGCTAACAGAACAAACATTTGATTTCCTTGTAAGCAAGCTTGGTCTCATCAATATCTACAGCCAAGCTTGAGGAGGAGTGTAGACAAAATCAAATCCACGCCATCTGGATTTAATCAACTGTATTTCAAATTGTTATCACATTGTTATTAGAGATAGAATATTGTTATCATATTGTTTTTAGTGATAGAATATTATCCCATAATTTTAGGAATTAGGTTATCCTGTCACCTATTTAAATTGTGCCTACTCTCTTGAATACTATACAAGAAAAGTTATTTTCTCATCTCTATTTTTATAGTTTTTAAATCGTAGCTCTTCAAACTAATATCAGTGGATTTGTGGTTGCAGTTATGGGAGAAAAAGATTCGTACAAGGTCCGGCTAAATTTCCAATACAACATTGTAGACCTCTGTGAAACTTATGCAAGTCTTTTGCATGAAATTTGAAGTTTCAGATCATTGCCAAAATATTCCTCAAGGGAATCTATACATTTTGTGATCCAGTGTATAGTACTTTTTCTATTGATTGAGGAACAAACTTGATAAAAGAGCAGCTTGCAGTTTCTGTATATAATTGTTCACAACCAGACTCTTTTTTTGTTATGCTAAGAAAATTCCAAGAGAAAAGCATAAGTTGGGTAAAATCTGTTATGAGTTTCAACTTCATGAATCTCAAGATAACTCTTTAAATCATCCCAAAATTAGCTGCTCTAGAAAATTGACAGCTTTTGTCCTAATTCTTCCCCATACATCTCAAGTAATTCCTCAAAATAGGGAGTCCTAATTGAATATGAAATCTCTATGTGACAATATTAATAATTATATTTGATGATAAAAGTTCACTCGGAGCACTATATTTCATATAATTTTCGATAGTCCTTTTCAATGCATAAATTCAAAAACTTTCTTGGAATTAAGAGAAAATATGGTATCAGTAAACATAACAAAAACTTAAAAACAAACTCCAATGAACAAAGTAGTGTGAACTTATTGATATATCAAAACTATGAAAAACTACAGTTTGTAACTCTACTTCCTAAAAGGGGAAGGCTATAGATCTGATATCTAACTAAACACTATGTAAAAACTGAAAAAAATTATTGTTGAATTGAAAAATCGGACTTGTTCCATCCTAGTCATCTTAATTGCTGCATTGATAGGATCATTAGGATCATTCATAAATCTTTTCCAGAACCAGTGGTCTCTCCAGACTTAAATCTTCAATAGGAATGTTCTTCGTCTCAGGCAAGAAGAAGTAACAAAAGGCGGTCATCAACACTACGAAGAATGCGAAGAGGATGAATAGACCAAACTTCATCCTGAGCATCGAAAGGAACAACTGAGCTATTAAGAATGCGAAGAACATGTTTACTACTACGTTAACACTTTGCCCTGCCGACCTGACCTCCAACGAGAAAATCTCACTTGGATAAAGCCACCCCAAACGGCCCCCAAGACCACGTGAAACCAGCAACATAAATGCAGATGCCTATAACCACAACTATGGCAAACCACTTTGGTAGCTGCGTCACATCTCCCGTCACACCAAATTTGGCCCCAATAAGAGCTGTAACTGCAATCTGTATAATCAAGTATCAACAAAAGGTTACATTAGCTATGACCATGTATAATTAATATGAGTGCTCGTGGTTTAGAAAAACAGTTAATGTTAGACTTGAAAGATAAGCATTTGGACCCCTCCTTCAAGAAACAGAGTTCTTCGGCCCCACTTATCAGCAAATGCAATGGATACACAAGTAGCCAAGACATTTACGACGCCAGAAATAATAGCTGACATTAGGGAAGTATCACTTCCAAATCCAATGGTTTTAAAGAGCACAGGGCATAGAACATAACCACGTTGATTCCAGTGAGTTGTTGGAAGAAAGGGATCAAGATGGACATAACCAACTGAGGACGATAGCACCGCCTCTTTAAGAAATTTTGCCATGGATTCTGCACTAGTCTTGCTTCATTCTTGGCTGTAAGAATATCATCGAGTTCAGCATCAATGTTTTCAACTCCACGAATGTGCTTGAGCAGTGCTTTTGCCTCGTCTTCCTTTCCCCTATCCACGAGAGAGTTTGGGGTGTCGGAGAGGAAAAAAGATGCAATGATGATGACGATGGCAGGAAATCCAGCCAATCCAAGGCTGAGCCGCCATCCCCAGCCGCCTTCAATCTTGGCAAAGAAATAGTTAAGCAGGTTGGCTATCAGAATTCCAATTGTGATCATCAGTTGGAAGCAAACATCAGGTTGGCTAACAAAATTCCAATTGTGATCATCAGTTTGAAGCAAACATTAAAAGTTCCACGATAATTGTACGGGGACATCTTTGATAGATAAAGAGGCACTGACTGCATAATTAACAGAATCAAACAGAAATTAGATGATCTATTGCAACTTTTACATTAACAAGAAGAATAAACTCCGATACAAATTAACTAAGTTACCTTGTTGGCAAAGCCGACGCCAATATCCAATAAAACACGGCCTATGATTAGCATACTGATGTGCACTGCCGCAGCGTTGATTATGGCACCAACCAAGAAAATTATTCCACCAAGCATCATCGACTTTCTCCCGCCAAATTTCTTGGTCATTGTTGATCCAAAAAAGGACGCTACAAGGGCAGCCAAATAGAGGGATGACGTAAAAAGTGTCAAAATCCGGCTGTCAAACTTGCAGTATTGATTAGTTGATGTATCATCCATCTGTTTATGATAGATAGACGGAAATAATTTCTTCAGAAAAGGCGCCATGGAAGTAAATCCACCTGCATCAAGAAAACCAAGAAACTTCAACCAGAAGTCTTCTTGAATAATCACAACCATGAAAAAGAATTACAAGGCTAAATTTTATACCTGATATAAGTTCTCAAGAGGTTAAATGAATACAGATTATCGCAAGATTCACTGAAAAAAAGAAATTGAACACGAAGGATTTTTTCGCCACAAAGGCTCGGATGTTCAACCTTACGGCCTACTCACCACGTTGAGCATCTACTAAGTAGATTTAGCTCTAGATCTACCAGAAAATTAACCAAGAATGTTACAAATGTACGAAGAAACACAAAGTTTCTTCACTGTTTTTGATCTTGCCTCACAAAAAACTATCACAACACCACCACAAACTCGCACGAAGTAGTATCACAATTATACATCAACTGTAGTATCAAAATCACTCAGATTTACAGAAGAGATTTTCACTCAGAAAATATCGGTGGTGTGAGAGAAAAGAGAAACCCTAGAATACACACTCAGAATAGATCTCTCTGGAAGAAAATGAGGCGTCCAAAACGTTTTAATCAGGTAAGTTAATGGTCATTGATCAACGTTAAGGAAATGGCCAGATCATATCTTCAAGAAGGGTAGAAATTGCATTTCAAGAGATCGCACTTCTCTTAGTAAATGGACCAAGACCATTTCAATAAATCCGGCCCAATAGCTTTAAAGGGGCCAAGAATGTGGCGCACTTTTATTTGGTCTCAACACCTGATATACCAATGGGAAAAATTCATATGTCATGTGTATTGTTTGCACCAATTCACAAATCAAGTACAAAGTTTAAAAATTCAAAATTCAGGTTTCTGTATAATTAATTGAAAATATTATTAATTAAATATAATAAAGTCACAGTTACACGATTAATGGTCACAGATTTACTTATTGGTCATATATCATCGAATTAGTTGGTTACAGATTATTTCGAGGTCACAAATCAAAAATTTTGTAGGCCACATTATTTCGAGGTCACAGATAAAAAATTTACAAGTCACAAATTATTTCATTGATCACATATCCAAAAAAATTACAAGTCACAAGGTAACATATGTTCAAATTTATTGGTCATATATTCTAAATAGTTGGTCACATGCACCAAATACCATCACCACCGATCCCGATCCAGCACCAATCTTGATCATAAATCACCACCGCACAATTGCCGCTTGCACCACACCATCGAATTTCAAGGTCACAAATTAATAATTAATCACAGGGACCAGATAGTTGGTCACAGACACCAAACATCTTATCCCGATCTACCACAATATTTGGTCAAAAAAATAGAATACTTGGTCACATACACCAAATAACTCATCACATACCACTACCATCACAGCCATTCAAGAAGACCACAACCATCACAGCCTATTGCCACCATTACCAATACAATCCCACTTCTAGCAACACAGACACAGCCTCAACAACCAAGACAATCACCGGTCATTTCATTTATTTTACTTTTGTCGGTGAATTGGGTACAACAGTAATGCCACCTTACCACCACCGTCATCGTCCTCAGCAAACTTCCATTTTCAACTCACCACCACAACCACAAACAAAACATCATTTTCAACTACAAACACCACTGCCACAGTCAACCAACCACTACCAGATCCACCGCCAAATTCAACAAAAACCACCCCAATTGTCAGATCCATCTCTACCATTGACACAAAACAAATACAGCCACCACTAGATCTAACAAAACCATTGGTACGCCTCAGATTCTAAAAAATAACTCCAAATTCATTGGTGGCACTACCTCCACCACTTCAAATCACAACCCACAAACTATATACAAACCATAAACTTTATCGGCTTTCAACCACAAACATTAAAAAAACTGCTATTGGGAGTGTAGGTAATTCACCACTCACCACCAAAATAAGATCGCTGTTGTGCCTGTTGGTCGAGGCGGAGCGACGATTTGGTACTGCGCACGACGGTACTCAGTTTGCTGCCAGCCTTCAACCTCCATTGAAGAGAAAAATGGGTAAAAAATGTATCGTCGCTATAGTCATCGAGAAGTGCGTACAGCACCGTAGCAGCATACTACAACTGGAGTGCAGATTCGAGCACAGTGCTGCCACTTAAGGATCTCGCTGAGGAGAGGGGGAGTGAGAGAGGAGATTCATTTATCTTTAGGGAGAGGGAGAGGGAGAGGGAGAGTGAGAGATTTGACGAGAAAAAGGAAGAGTGAAAGAGAGAATGGATTAGATTTAGGGTTTGAAATTGGGTGGGTGATTGTTTTGGTGGTGGTTGAATTTGTAATATAATTATTAATATTAAAATATTAAATTGGCACCTGATTTTTGATTAAAAATACTTTGTGTGATTTTTGAATTGAGATCTTTAAATACCCGTTCTGGTGTAATTTTCCCTATACCAATATCGTATCCAAAGATCAATCGTATCCAAAGATCAATCCTCCGATAGCTGCTGCCATTAATGTTATTACCACATACCATAAACATAATATGTGAAAATTATAGCTATATTTGGCAAGTTTTAATAAACAGTTTACAAATGGCAAAAAAGGTTAAACCAATTCTTATTCAAGAATATGTGATATTAAAACAAAACCCTTTATAAACATTTATCTATCACGCATTTCTAGCTATTATAAACAAAACCCTTTATAAACACTTTTTTGACAAGCTCTATAACAATAGGAACCAATGTGGCAGATTGGTTGGGCAGCTTCCATGTTACTTGATTCAATGGTTTCACTAAACCAGACTGGGATTCATTAGTTTATCGATTTCGACCATTCGATTCTTGAAACACTATGATAAAGAAGGGCGTAAAATGCCGGGTGTCATAGGGATTTTCCAACAAACCTGCAATATCATCCAGGTTTCTCGTCCCCAGCCAGCCGACGATCAAATTTAACACTTTCAGATCTCGAAACACACAAATTGAACTAAGTAAAGATTATAGAAAATTGAATTATCGAAATAATAAAGTAAAACACATATTTTTGAGCAACCTTTTCCAACTTCATGTTTATAAAACAAAGAAAATGACTTTAGAGTACAAAAATAAGTGAGGGATCAACATGTTATTGTAGCCTCATCACATATATTCGCTGTTCCATGTCATTTCAATGCACCAACATTTAATTCGGACTGCAGTTGACAGCTCCCAACTGCTAGGTCAGTTTTCCAAAATTTTCAGCCCTTCCATGCTAGAAACTGCCCGCAATTGTCTTCACGTCAAGCCCACCAATGGGCTAGGTTGGCCCCATTTTGCGTTTCCAACTTATGTTGAAAATCTTCGAGAATGTTGTGCGGTAATTTCAAATAGCGAGTAAATATTCGGGCAAAATTTCGACTTACAATATTAGCACAATAAATTAGAATGAATAATGGTCGAGTTAAGAGTTTGACTCTTCCTCCTTAAGACGAAAATTCCCCGCACTGGTGCTGACGGTCTCCTGGCACTTATCTTCCAAGATATAACGACCTCGACTTGTAATAGCATCACTCCAAATTACAAGACCCGACGAACCTACTAATATTTGATCTCTCGAGAATCGGAGGACTAAAATGCACTAAAATAATATTTGGGATTGAAATGCAAAAATATATGGAATATTGCAGGATGGAAGGACAATATTACAGGAGAAGGGAAGTATAATAAAATTTCTGGAGTGAATAAAATCGGGGATCTGGGGTCTATTTATAGAAGTTGAAAGGTTGTGCCCAAAAGACACAACAACCAAAATGTTGTGTCTTGGAACAGATATAACCCATTTGGACAGGCAGATAAAACTGTCACCAACCGTTAGTCTATAGAAGAATCCACGTGTCTCGCACAGAAAATTCAAGGAAGAAAAAATAAATAATATAATAAAAATATATTATTTAATTATTTTACCAAAAATATATATATCAACTGGCCCAAGCCCACGACCACAACCCGTGTCGAGCGGCCAGTCGGACGGACGGCGGCGCGCATGTGGGCTTTAGCTGAATCTACTAACATGTAGGTCTTCTCCCCTCTAAAGACTAGTGGTACCCCTTAGGGTCCAAACCCAAGTTCTTAACTTGAATTATATAAAGTGGTTTCTATTATTCTAATTTTCCTATGTGGGATTGACACTTTCCAATTACCCACCAATTTTTATTCCCAATTTATTTCAATTTCAAGTAGTCATCTTTTGACTTGAATTTCTCATTCGCCCTTAATTAGTTTCGAGAAATAAATACATTTATCAATTCTACTCATGGAGTAGAATGCAGTTTGCCAAATAAATCATTTATCAAACTAACGGGACCCACTTAAATAATTGGTCAAAAGTTGGTCAAACCAACTAATTATTCCAATTTTCTAACAATCTCCCACATAAATAAAAATTAATGCAATAGATGATGCAGACCCTAACGAGGGATCAGGCGAAAAGTTATTGCATCTGAATAGGTACCTTATGGGTTTGAACCATCCATAATATTACTATCGGATTTACTTGGCTAATCGATGAGCGTGATGTCTTGAACTGTCAGCCGTTATTGTAAACCAAGACAATAGCATCAACACAATAACCTCCCTAATATTTTTGAGTTCTCATTGTCGTGTTCATTTTGGCCCTAAACAACTCTTGAATTTCATAAGTGCTTTAGAGAATTCAAGCCCTTGAAACATTTTCATGGAAGCAACCACACTTCACACTTATATAGGTGATTTCATATTAAGAGTATCTGTCATACTCCACTTGGATAATTCAAGATATATGAATCATTAAAAGCATATCTTAACCTAAGACTTTTTGCAGATAACACTTCTCTTATCATAGGAATGGGTGGGAGTAAACTCTGAAGTGCTTTTTGAATCTTCATGACTTAGTTGTCTCATTGAACCAAGATCTTGGGATCTCCAATCAGTAAGGTTGGGTTATCATTACAAAGATCCTTACTTAGTAGGTTTTAAGCCCATTCCCCTTGATAGACAGTACATTTGATCTATTGGTAAACCTTTTGTGAGCGGATCCGCGAGATTCTCTCTAGATTTTACATAATCTATGGAAATGACACTATTCGAGATCAACT